TAATACTCTGTCCTTATCTTTGATCTTTGCCATTTTAATTATTATGTGTCTTGGTGTTGCCCTCCTTGGGTCCCTTCTCATGGGAATTCTGTGTGCTTCTGTGATCTGAGAGGCCATTTCCTCCTCCTGTTTGGGGAAATTTTCAGAAATTATTTCTTCAAAGACACTTTCTATCCCTTTTTCTCTCTCTTCTTCTTCTGGTTCTCCTATAATGCGAATATTGTTCCATTTTGATTTGTCACACAGTTCTCTTAATATTCTTTCATTCCTGGAGATCCTTTTATCTCTCTCTGCGTAAGCTTCTCTGCATTCCTGTTCTCTGATTTCTAGTCCATTAATGGTCTCTTGCATCTCATCCTTTCTGCTTTGAAGTCCTTCCAGAGATTGTTTTATTTCTGTATTCTCCCTCCTTAGTTCTTGCATATTACTCTGCAAGTCCATCAGCATGGTTATGACTTTTGTTTTGAATTCTTTTTCAGAAAGATTGGTTAAATCTATCTCCCCAGATTCCTTTTCAGGGGAGGATGTGGAGGATGTCTGTGTTAGTCTCGTCTGGATCAAATTTTTCTGCCTTTTCATGTTGATAGATGCTGTGGTATGCTATTGACTCATCTGTCACCTGGGAGAGTCAAGACTCTTTCCACTTGCTCCTGGCCTTTCTTTACTGGGACAATCGCAACCCCTAGCGGCTTGTGTTGGGCAGTTGTGCATAGGCTGGGTCTCTGTTTCTTGCCCGGCCACTCTGGAGGAAGCTCCCTTACTGTGGGCGTGGTCAGCCTCAGGCCTCTGCCCTGCTATGATGGGGCCGTGCCAGAGGGGGAACGGGCGGGGGGCTATTTTTCACTGTGAGGGGTCTCAGAGCTGCGCTCCTGCCCAGGGAGTTAGGGTGCCCGGGGTTCTCCAGGATTCCCAGCGGCTGAGCTAAGTGTCCCGGGACGCTTCTGTTCAGCTGTGGGGTCCCTGTCCCTTTAAGACTTTCAAAAAGCACTCGCTTTTCTTGTCCCAGGCGCACTGGCTGCAGGGACCTGCTCACAGGTTTTACTGTCCCATTTCGCTAGTTTCCCATACTCCTTGCACTGTGTGTCTGCACTCCCAGAGCGGATGGCTAGGGCTGGGTGTTTAGCAGTCCTGGGCTCCCTCTCCCTCCCCGCTCTGACTCCTCTCCTCCTGCTGGGAGCTGGGGTAAGGGACGCTCGGGTCCCGCCAGGCCGGGGCTTGTATCTTACCCCCTTCGTGAGGCGTGGGTTCTTGCGGGTGTGGATGTAGTCTGGCTGTTGTCCTGTATCTTCTGGTCTCTCTTTTAGGAATAGTTGTTATTTGTTCTATTTTCAAAAATATATATGTTTTTGGAAGGAGATTCCCACTATCCTATTCACTCCGCCATCTTGGCTTCACCCCTCTAAAGCATGTACTTTTAAGGGGAAAAAATTTATATTTAAAATCACCTTCTGATTCAGTGGTCATACATGTCTTTTACATAGTTAAATTATTGTATAGAGTTTTTTAGCTCATATTTCATATATATACTTCTGTACGATAATGTGGTTCATATGATTTCCATTGTATTAATGTCTTATAATTTATTTTGATCCTCTCATTATTGACTATTTGGGTTCTTCCTTGTATTTTATGACCATGACTGAATTATAAACATTTATAATAATTTCTTTTTTATTAATTTTTCAGGATATTTCTAGAATAGAAATATTGGATCAAGGTTTTATAAGCCTTTGGTATATTCTGCCAGATTGCTTTCCAGAAGAAAAGAACCAGTTTATAATTCTATAAAAGTCAATTAAGAATGCAATGGATTCTTAAATTTATTTCTGTTCCCTGTAACTACTTTAACTTGAACCAACAGGAAAATATCATTTTGTAGGGTAAAAACATTTGCTCATCAACAATTCCATAGGTTCAATCTAACATTTTATAATTTGTGTTTGTTTTCAAATTGAGTGAATTTATAGTAGTACTTCAAAGTAAAAGTAATTTACATTTCTTTCAAATCAGTGAAACAATATTTACATTTCTTTTGTACTCATATTTACATATATATTTCTTTCAATCAGTGAAGCAGTATTTTTCCCATGCATTACTGTATTAGCAATACCTTCAATAGATAACTTTGTTCCTATTCTTAGGCTGCTTGTTCCTTGGAATCTAGATACTGAAATTTTAAGTTCTTTATTAGTTCTTTCTGTCCATTAGTGACCTTTCATCAGTATTATCTAACCTGTTTTCCTTCTCTTCCTTTAATTTTATTTTTTTCAAAAATTTGTAAAGTTTTTTGGATTTTTTTAAATTTCTAAAGTTAGACACTTAAGAGGGCGGTAAGTTTGGTTTTTCCTGTTAATTAGTGAAAACATATTATCAGAAAGTAGCTATATTTGCCAGAGGAACCATTAAAGAAAGCATTTATGAACCATTGGTAACTGATTTACTATGTTTTAGCCTGACTGATCCTTTGAGTCTTATTATGAGCAATCTGTATCTTAAATCAATGTGTTCAGTTTCTCTATCCAAGTAACCACACCATTAGAATTCTAGTATTGAAATTATCAGTGTTTAAAAGTCAAAACCCATGTCACAGGAAGTTTGCTTATCAAAAACTAGTAAAAGGAAAAAGGACTTTTTTTTTCTTTATTTGGAATTGTCTGATATTGTTTTGAGAAAAAACAGCCTTATTTTATCATCCAAATGTGAAGCTTTTAAGGAAGGTTTTCAGTTATTTGGTTTTGGATCTTCCTTTTATTTTTAATATTGTCACAGTGTGTTCATTGACTTTGAGAAAAGGAACTTTTCAGTACAGATACATCTTATTAGACAATCAGTAGAGGTTTAAATACCTTCTAGTGTAGAGGCCATTTGAATACCTGTAAATGTATCCCTGCAAATTTGAGTCAAATGTAAATGTATAATAGCCTTCTTAATGTAGAAGAGAATTCTGCTCACTATATATGGAATAAGCTTGAATAGGTACCATTTTATTTACAAAATTCCTACTGATTTGGGATTACTTGGTGAGCTAACAGTGTGTTGCATAAATTGCTATATAAAGTTTGTTCTAACGCAATTCCCCCAAAGTGATGTGTTGCTCAGAATGAACTCAGACATATACTGCTGGTAGAAATATAATTTCATGTAATCATTCTGGGGTACAATTTAGTGATTATACAGAAACTTTTATGAACATACAACCCTTTAACTCCACCATTTCATTGCTAAGCGTTTAGCCCAAGAAGTCAGTCAGAGATGCTCTACAACTTATGTTCAAGGATATCTATCACACTATTTTTTTATATAATAGTAACAAATTTAATACCTAAGTGCTCAAAAATAGGAAATTGGTTAAGTAAATTATGGTGCACTCAAAATGGAGTATTCATTTCACAAATATTTTCATTAAGCTTCTATTGTGTTCCAACTCTAGACTGAGTTCTGGGGGTATAGTATCTGTCCTTATGCTCTCACAGATTTTGGGGAAACAGAATAAGCCAGTAGGACAAGAAAGTATGGTAGTGCTTTGTTAAAAAAGTATTTATATAAGTGCCTGTTGAGACTTAAAGCATTCCCTTGTTAATCCCATTTTACAACATGGGAGATGTTTATTATATATTGCAAGTAAAAAAAATGGCAACAAAATGTTTTTACCACATTAATGTTATTAAATGATGGAAATTTATATTTCTTAAGTATATGTAAATAGGAAAAGGATGAATACATTAAAAATTAGCAGAACTTTTAGCTGGATGGTGGGATCACAGGTTTTGTTTTCCTTTTGTACTTGTATTGAGTATATATTCCTTTTCTAATTGAAAAGAAAAACCAATTTTAGAAGGGGATGGGGATAAACTTAACTTGCCATGGTATTTATAGAAGTATCAAAACATTATTTCATCTAGAGTATAGTATCTTTGTATAGATCCAGGGCAAAGTTGTAAAATTATAAAACGATTTGTATATATATCTATAGAAGGCAAAGAAAAAATTGTATCTTAATTTTTACAAGGATTTGTACACATGTAAATTTAGTTCTACTTATGAATTAGGACTTCAGTTGTAGTTAAGAATCTCTGAGACGGGTAAGATTCCTCAAGGGAGGAACAACCTAAGACAGGCACAGTCACAGGGGGGCCATCAGGTGAGAAATTGGGGATCAACAGAGGTGAGGCTTAGAACCTCACCCCCCCTGTTTTGAGAGAAATCTTCTGCATCCGTGGATGTTTTGTTGCCCTTGTCTAGTTTGGATTAATACTTAGTCCATAGGCACACACCTGATCATCTACATTTGCCCTCTTACAGCACTAAACTATGTTTTCTACCTTTATCTTGCATCTACCTACCACTTCAGTATTTTATTAAAAATAATAATAATAATAATAATAATAATAAGGGAGAAATGTGGGATTCACATATAAATCAAGTATAAAAATCAAATGAATATTCATATTTGACCTGATTGTTTATAGTTCATAATGCATGATCAAAACTGAAAGTTTCTGTGATGACTGCCCTTGCACTGTTCACCATGTAAGAACTTATTCACTATGTAAGAATTTGTTCACCATGTAAGAACTTGTTCGTTATGCTTCAGAACATTGGAGACTGTTGAGAATTAGGCTTGGGGTTAATTAATGATTGTGCATTGAGTATTGAGTCCCCTATACAGAATTTTATTGTTGTTAACAACCATTTGATCAATAAATATGAGAGATGCCCTCTCAAAAAAAAAAAGAATCTCTGAAACAAACTCTTTGGGAGTAAGAATATTTTCAAATTTCAAGTGTCTAATGTTCTATGTCTATAGTAAGAAGATAGAAAAGATAATCACCTGGCTGTCTAGAAGACCCTTTCTTATCTATATACAAAGATAATGCAGTTAAATGTTCTATGACTTTATTCATAGCAAATAACCATATACAATGTTGGACATTTAAAAAAATAAGTTGAACTTAATGGTACAGTATTGCCTACTTCTTACTTTTTAAAATTCTATTTAGGGAAGATGGTTTTATGCTCTACTGGCTTGTCTTGAAAAACCTTTGTTACCTGAGGCACATTCACTGATCCGACAGCTTGCAAGAAGGTGCTCTGAAGTGAGGCTGTTAGTGGTAAGTTACAGCTTATTATTTCAAATTGAAAGATTGAAAGCACTCTACCAATTTATGTGGTGAAAAAGAAGGATTCCATTGAAATAGGAAAATGTGGAATCTTTTATTAGTCAGTGTTAGGTTTGGCCACATAAAAGACCAAAATAACAGTAGCTTAAATGAAATGGAATTGTTTTTCTCAGATAAAGGAAGTCTGCAGGTGATCTAAGATGGCAGTAAACCAAGCCTTTGAGTTCTGCCACATGTGGCTTCCATCCTCAACCTCACCTCATGATCCAAGACAGCTTCTGGAGCTTTGGCCATTACATTTCATTAGGTAGGAAGCTGAAAAACAGAGAAGATGGTCATACGTTTTAAAGAGCTTTCCCAGAGGGTTCACAAGCACCTTGGCTATATAGTTCATTGGCAAGAATTTAGTCACATGGCCCTAAGGAACTATGGGAAATGTTTACTTTTATCTGGGTGGCACTGTGCTTAACTAAAAATGAGTTTCATTTGTTAAATAGTAAAGGGAGACAAGAAGCCAGTGTGGTCAACTGAAAGTCTCTGGCATGTTGATTATTTTGCATTTACCAATCAGACCCTTCCTCTAACTCATGCCTGCAACATTATAATATAAACTAATTTGATGCCAGATTAAACCCATTTCTGATTTTTTTCTTTCACCTTTCCTTTCCCCTTCACACAATACACTTTTGTTCTCCATTAACTACTCCAAAATATTTTCACTAAACATCCATGATATGGTCCAAACTAACTTAAAAGGGCTGTACTCGAAGCAAAATGTACTTAACTACTCAGAAATTGTTTTCCATGCTTTCTTCTTAGACTTTATTCCCCCTCCAGAAGTGCCTTTTCACTCTCTTCCAATCTGCATCTAAATGCCATTTTCTTTTCACAATCTGGCTCATGTTCCAGTACTTTCTATATTCTCCCTGATCCTAACTACTGAAAAGGAATCTCCATCATCTGTTTTCCCAGTATACTTCATATCTTTTTTATGGCACTTAACACATTTTTTCTTTGACTAAAACTAATAGGGATATTTCAACTTCTCTACTATTAGCAGATAATATGCTTATTCAGCTTTGTCCCATATGGTGCTTGGCACATAGAGAAGTTGAATATACTAACATGGAATTGTGTCCCAAGTTTGAATTAATATATAATATGTCCATTATAACATTACTCAATAGGTTATTGTGATGATTTCTTGAAGTATAAAAATAAATTTCATTCTCTGTAAGACTCCTTTCCATGTGTCTTAGGTCTGTCATTTAAACACACATTTAAAGTGACCTTTATAAGCAATGTAGTTCAGGAACTACCTCCCCATAATGGAGAACCCTGATCTGGAATATATCCTGGTATGTCTTATCCTAGAAGCCAGGATTTCACTCCTTGTCAGTTGTAAGTTCTTCAAACTATTTTCATATAATTTTTTTTCACTGTGGCCCAGTTACAGCATAGGCTTTTTGTGCTCCTCTACTTGGAGCAAGGAAAACTATCTCTCCCAAGTTATCCTTCTTGGAGCCCCCAACTCTTATTTCTTTTCCCTGTTCAGGACCTTTCTTTAAAAGATGACCTTAGGTGTTTCTCAAAGGATCATTAACTTGACAGTTCCCTCCTTTTTCTTTGAAATTTTCTATTCCCATGTGATTATTACTATCATCCAGTAACAGTTTCGTGATTTGCATCTTAAAAGGAAATTTTGTTGCAAAAATATTAGGGAAGAACAGACTACATTTTAAACTTTTTTTCTTTCTTTTCTTTTAGGACAGCAAAGATGATGAGAGGGTTCCTGCTTTGAATTTATTAATCTGCTTGGTTAGCAGGTAAGTAATCCTTGTCTTCTTGCTTCATAATAGTATTATTAATGGTGGTAGAGAGGAAACTAAGGTATAAGGAAACAATGTTAATGTACATCACAATTATGTTACAGTGAAGATTTATAGAGTAAATCCCTACAAATAAGTTAATGGACATCCATGTGCTTTTAATACTGAGATGTTTATTGACAGTTTGCCTTCCAGAAAGCTCATACAATTCTGTGTTCCCACTAATGTGTCAATGAGAGTACCCACCTCTTTGAATAGTGAGCACTTTCAGTTGGTACAAATATTTCCATTCAGATAATAAGATACAAATTATTTTTGTTTGCATTTGTTTGATTACCAGTGAGGGTAGAACATGTTTCATTTTTTCTTCCCTTTTTAAAAAATATTTTTTATTATTTTTATTTTGTTATATTAATATACAGTCACATGAGCAAAACTGTGGTTACTAGATTCCCCCCATTATCAAGTCCCCCTCACATACCCCATTACAGTCACTGTCCATCAGCGTAGTAAGATGCTATAGAATCACTACTTGTCTTCTCTGTGCTATACTGCCCTCCCCGTGCCCCCACCTATGTTATGTGTGCTAATCGTAATGCCCCTTATTCCCCTTCTCCCTCCCTTCCCACCCACCCTCCCCAGTCCCTTTCCCTTTGGTAACTGTTGGTCCATTCTTGGGTTCTGTGAGTCTGCTGCTGTTTTGTCCCTTCAGTTTTTGCTTTGTTTTTATGCTTCATGGATGAGTGAAATCATGTGATACTTCTCTTTCTCTACCTGGCTTATTTCACTTAGCATAATACCCTCTAGCTTCATCCATGTTGTTGCAGATTAGGATTTGTTTTCTTCTTATGGCTGAATAATATTCCATTGTGTAAATGTACCACATCTTCTTTATCCATTCATCTCCTGATGGACACTTACGTTGCTTCCATTTTTTGACTATTGTAAATAGTGCTGTGATAAACATAGGGGTGCATATGTCTTTTTGAAACTGGGATCCTGCATTCTTTGGGTAAATTCCTGGAAGTGGAATTCCTGGGTCTAATGGTATTTCTATTTTGAGTTTTTTGAGGAACCTCCATACTGCTTTCCACAATGATTGAACTAGTTTACATTCCCACCAGCAGTGTAGGAGGGTTCCCCTTTCTCTGCATCCTCGCCAACATTTGTTGTTCCTAGTCTTTTCTGTGTTGGCCATCCTAACTGGTGTGAGGTGATATCTCATTGTGGTTTTAATTTGCATTTCCCTGTTAATTAGCGATGTGGAGCATCTTTTCATGTGCCTGTTGGGCATCTGAATTTCTTTGGAGAAGTGTCTTTTCATATCCTCCACCCATTTTTTAATAGGGTTATTTGCTTTTTGAGTGTGGAGGTGTGTGAGTTCTTTATGTATTTTGGATGTTAACACCTTGTTGGATATGTCATTTACAAATATATTCTCCTATAATGTAGAATGCCTTTTTGTCCTTTGCTGTACAGAAACTTTTTAGCGTGATATAGACTCATTTGTTCATTTTTGCTTTTGTTTCCCTTGCCCAAGGAGATGTGTTCATGAAGAAGTTAGTCATGTTTATATTCAAGAGATTTTTGCCTATATTTTCTTCTAAGAGTTTTATGGTTTCATGACTTACATTCAGGTCTTTGACCCACTTTGAGTTTACTTTGTATATGGGGTTAAACAATAATCCAGTTTCATTCTCTTGCATGTAGATGTCCACTTTTGCCAACACCAGTTGTTGAAGAGGCTGTCATTTCCCCATTGTATATCCATGGCTCCTTTATCATGTATTTATTGACCATATATGCTTGGGTTTACAGCTGGGCTCTCTAGTCTATTCCATTGGTCTATGGGTCTGTTCTTTTGCCAGTACCAAATTGTCTTGATTACTGTGGCTCTGGAGTAGAGCTTGAAGTCAGGAAGCATAATTCCCCTGCTTTATTCTTCCTTCAGGATTGCTTTGGCTATTCAGCGACTTTTGTGGTTCCATATGAGTTTTAGAACTATTTACTCTAGTTTGTTAAAGAATTCTGTCGGTATTTTGATAGGGATTGCATCCTATCAAATCTGTAGGATGTGATACTTCTCTTTCTCTACCTGGCTTATTTCACTTAGCATAATACCCTCTGTAAATTGCTTTAGGTAGGATGGCCTTTTTGACTGTTAGTTCTTCCTATCCATGAGCACAGGATGTGTTTCCATTTACTGGTATCTTCTTTAATTTCTCTCATGAGTGTCTTGGAATTACATGTTTCATTTTAATACAGTTGCCTGTGTCTTGTTCATTTTCAGTTTGGGCACATTATTATTTAGTATGTGTTTGATTTCATTTCTTAAACTGAAGTTCTACCTGGATATTTCAAAACTTTTTCTTATGCTTGTATCTGAGTGTGTGGATATATAGTTACAAATATCACACACATTTATTTTAGGTCTCTTTCTGGACTTGATATTTTGTTCATTGGTCATTGTTTTCATTTAAATGCTAATACCTTTTTAAAGCTTTATAAGATATTTAATATTGGGAAGGTAAGTGATTTTTGTATCCACTTTTCCCTCCCCAAGCAGGACTTTTTTAGAGTACTCACATGTTCAACATACAGTTTCTTGGTCTGTAGTAATTAAGCTGTGCCAGTAATTAACCCTTACTGGGCATTTTGTATTTTAATTCTTTATAGAAATTTACTTAATCCTTAGAGGGTAGGTTTTATTAGTTCACAAATGAGGAAGCCATGGCAGAGAGAAGTTAAATAACTTCCCTGTCATCACAAAGCTAGTCAATGGCAGGGCTAGGATCCAGCTTTACTGCAGAGCTAAGCTCTTACCTATGCTGATCATAGAGTTAATTCCTGCCTCATCTTTTGGTAGTAAGTATTCAATGAGAGAATGCCATAGGTAACATATATACTGTGTCTCAAGTCCTTTCAACTCAGGGTTTTTTCCTCTTACAGATGAGGTCACTGATTCAGGCAAATTAAGTAATAAAGGTTTCATAAGCTAGAATTTCCTGGAACCAGAGACTTAAACATATCATCTAACTGGTAATCTACTGATAATTTATAATACTAGGCACTTAGAAGAAATAGCCAAGTGTTCTGGTCGTGATTTTTTTTCCCCTCAAAAGTTAGGCAAAAAAGGAAAAGTTCTAAGCTAGAAAAGTGTGAAACTACAGGCTTCATTTAGGGAAATTTATAGATGATTCTAACAAGTTTGAAGAAAGATAACAGAGGCCCAAATTCTCTTTGCAGTAGCTGCTTCAATGTAAATACCAGGTATTTGTTTAAGTATCTTATATTTTTTGTTGGTGTTGTTTTGGCAGCATTAAGGCACTAACCGCGAACCCATAGAAAATACCTATTCATGGGATCCAATAGCTGTGTGTTAGCACCCTAATGACATTACCAGTGATAATTATTTTTTTAAGGTTTCTTACTATGGAGATTTTCAATTACATACAAATGTAGTAGAATAAACCCCCCAGACCAATCCATTGCCCAGGTTCAACAACTATTAACTCTGTACTAGGATGTTTCATATATCCCATCTTTTTTGTTAATATGCTTTAAACAAGTCTCAGACACATTTATTCCATGTTAGTATGTCTAACTGATCAGGACTTTTCAAAAACATGATTGTAACATTGGTATCATGCCTAATAAGTTTAATAATAACTGTAGTGTCATCTGATGTCCAATCAGTGTTTCATGTTTTCCCCAATTATCCCCAAAATGTCTTTTTATGTTTGAATTATTCAAATTGAGATCCACGTAAGATGTACTTACTGCATTTGTTTGCTATGTCTCTTAAATATCCCCATCCATTCTCTGGGTTTTTTTCTTTGCCATTTATTTGTTGAAGAAATTGAGTCCTTTGACTTGTAAAATTTCCCACATTTTGGTTTTAACAGGTGTATCTTCCTGGTAGTATTTCATGTGTTCATCTATCTCCCATATTTTCTGTAAACTGATAGGTAAATATAGAGGCTTGATTATATACAGAGTTTATTCATTAAGACTCCATGGATGCTGTTATGTCACATCAGGAGGCACATAATGTCTGGTTGTCTCACTTAGTTGGTAAAGTTGAACACTGCATTCAGGTAAAGAGACACTGCAGTCATTGACTTAGATGCTCAAATCATGCCATTTGTGGCCAGTGGGAACCCTTTGAGTCAATGCTTATGCTTTTGGTTATATAATAGCTTTCTTCTTTCTGGTATGCTGACATGATTCAGATGTATCTTGGTCATTGAATATTTCTGGCTCCAGATCTGGAATCAGTCTTTTCCCCCAGGAGTGATAGTTCTTCTTTTAAAGCAGAAAATGGTACTTGGAGTCCTCAGTTTGGACATTAGGAAAGCTAGTTGTTATTAGGTCAGCATTGCATTTAGGCCTTTTCAGTGAACAGCCAAGTATGTATTTTTTAGAAAGAGGAAAATAAAATGAGTTCAAATTGGTATTCCAGCTCCAATTTAAGATTATATGATTTTTTCTTCAATGATTTATTTCTTCTCTCCTAACAATATTGTTTCTAACAATATTAATAATAATTGACTTTATTCTACAATATGCATATTACAGTTTCAGAATAACAATACAGCAATATTATCGATAGTAAAACCACTTAACTAGCAACTATTGAAGTCAGTTTAAGAATTCTTGTCTTGTTCACACCTATCTTGAGCATTTGAGTATAGAGTCCTTGCACAAAGACGGACTCGGCCTGTGCAAGGACAGCACAGAGAAGGTGGGCTCTGGCCTCGTTTCTTCTTTTCTCTCTGTACATACCTGAACAGCTGTACAGGACCTCTGGAATGCTCTGGAAACATTTCTGCTCCTTTAACTTTCAAAAGACACTGGCCAGCATTCCCCAGCATGTCTACATAAGTGTATTATCTAAAACCACGAGAGATACTACTCCATGTGATTTAAATATATCCCCCAAACTCTTTCAACCAACATTGTAAGTCACTATTGGGAACCAATAGATATCAACGTGGTTTAAAGTTAATAATAACATAGCTGTTAATATGTTTTCCTTAGAAATGCTTCAGATGGCTGACAGGACAAAGTGGGGGTCTCTAGTTCATTAACCAAATTCACAATTTTGCTTCTATGTCTGCTTCAAGACAGCTTTGAAGAGTTTGATCCACATCACTGCAACTTGGTACAGCACAAAACACACCATGAAACAGGTTGATTTGCTGCACTAGTTAGACATCAAATGCTCGCTAATGAATTCTTCTAGAATTTTAAATCAGTTTCAGTAAAACTATAAAGAAGTTTTAGAAAACATGACTTAAATGCTGTTTATACAGTCACTAGTTATTCATGACAACCAATAAAAATCTCCCACAAAAAAAAAAAGTTCTTTACAGTTCTTTTTATCTCTGGCATATCTCACAAGACACATATATCAGAACATCATTTAAGGTCTCTTGGAATTGTTCTCCTCTGTGCGGTTATGCCACCAGCTTGATATATGAAAAGATTCATTTGGGGAAGTTTGAGTAGTGATTTTCCTTTTTCCTTTATCTTGTTTTACAATTGCATAAAATATTTATATTATACCAAAGTTAAATATAATTCAACATACATTTGGACTATTATAGAATCCACCTTCATCCTTTCTCCCTTCTGTAGCTATCCCTTTTTATTAAGGATTTTTGACTTATCCTTCCATTCATTGCTTCTTTTAAAAAGTATAAGCAAATATGTATGCCTGCATTCCTACACTTGCTCACAAAAAGCAGCTTATTAAACATGCTGTTCTATATCCGTTTTTTTTTTCTCCACTTAATAGATCCTGGAAACCACACTGTAGCAGTGTAAATATTTCCCTCATTCCTTTTTTGTAAAAGCTTTGGTCTTTCCCTGTTTAGATTCACCATGGTTTTTTTCAGCCAGTGCCCTTGTTTATGGATGTTTGAGCTGTTTGTGGTCTTTTGCTATTACAAGGAGTGCTGCAGTTAACATTTTTAAGCATACATTAAATTCTCTTTCTTTTGACTAGGTATTTTGACCAACGTGATTTAGCTGATGAGCCATCTTGATGCAGCCGGTCTCAGGGACAGAAGATACTGGTGATGAAGGCAGCCTGAGTCTGAGGAAGTGCACAAGTGCAGAGTGTGTCCCTCTTCAACACTGTGAAGGGTCTTCATCCTAACCTGTGCCCAAGCTGATACTCAGAAGATAGATTGTGTTGATTTGAGTATCTGAAGTATCTTTGAAAAATCCCACCAGTATTTGTTGAACAGTTTAAACAGTTTTCTCCACATGCTTTTCAAACAAATTGAGTGCCATTTATTGGTAAAGCATCCTACACAGAAACTGTGTGATGAAGTGTTACAGAGGGGCTTGGTGCTGTTTCATTGTTTATTTACATATATATACAATTTTATTAACAATATATTTTGGTTACTAAAATTTTCTTTAACTCTTGAACAAAACAAAAGACAAATGGATAAATGCCCTTAGTATTAGAATTAAGATAATGTAGATTAAATGGCAGTGCCTTTGTAGTCAGCAACAAAATCAAATGTCTTTCCTTTGAGCTCACTACTTTTATGCACAAAGAAAACTTTTTCCTTACAAATCATTTTTAGTAACACCCTAATAGGTAACAGTTTTAATTTTTTTGCTGAACCTTTTGTTCATATCACTTAGGATTAATCTACTTCTGTGTCGGGTAGTTATATTTTCTACTTTAACAGAAGATCCGAATAGTGGTGGTTTTTCAAATAGGGGTTCATTTTTCTTACAGAACAAAAAGTCTAATGATGCTGGATACTGGCATTGGTTCTATGACTTCACAATACCGTCTTTTTAAGAGTCTCTTGGCCTTTCCCTCATGGTAACAAGATGGCCACTAAAGCATAAGGCAATGTATCTGTATTAAATTCAGGAAAAAGGGAGATGAAGACAGAGCCTTCCATATGTGATTCTTTCTAACGAAAGCAAAACCTTCCTCATAAATCTATAGCAGATTTGAGTTCTGTGGGACACAAGTGTATATAACACGATCACTTCTAACTACAAGGAAGATGGGGAAGTGAAATTGGCCCTTCCAGTCCTTCTAATGAGAGGTAGAAAAGGAAAAGGGAATTAGAAATAACTGGATCAAGCAACCAATAGTTTTGCCACCAGTTACAAAGAGAGTAGATGGTAATTACATATTTTGAATCTTTTCTGCTGATTTTTAAATTATAGCCTAATAGTCCAAGTTGTATTTTGCTATAGTTTAAACATGCTATCATTATTAGTTATCTAATCTGTTTTCAGTGTTAATCCAGTATAGGAAATGCTACTATGAATATTTTCAAGGACATAACTTTTTCCTTTGACCAGAAGTTCCCAAGAGTAGGATTGCAAGTCATGAAAGTCTATCAGTTAATATTGCATTTGAAACTTAACTGAAGTTTTAAAAATCAGGTACTTATTTTTGTTTCTAATATAATAATTATGCTGTAAGAAGTTCAGGGCTGATAAAAGCAACTCTACTATATCTTAAATGTCCTGGGCTACATTCAGATTTTTCTTTCACAATTTTAGTGTGTAATTTTCATTTTTCAGTCATGATATGGTTGCTTTATCTCTTGCCTCATATCCACATTTCAGAAAGGATAAAAAGGCCCCACTCCTTATTGCTGTATCAGAGGGGCAAAACCTTACAAGAAACCCTCAACAACTTATATATCATTTGCTAGAGTTATGACATTTTCTAATTAAAAAGAAAAGCTATAAATTATAAATATTTAGCTGAGCATATTGCCACTTCTCCCAAATATAGAGTTCTGTTGGAAAAGAGGGAAGAGTGGATATTGGGTAGGCAGGCAGCAGTGTCTACTGTGGAGTTTAGATGTCCAAATTGTATCCCAACTAGCTGTTAAAACCTCACATTTTTTGCTTATTTGTTTCTTGGGGAGTTGAGCTTCAGGGGCTGATTTAATGAAGGTAAAGTGTTCATTATTTTAATTTACATTTCTTTCTACAACTAGTGGGTGAGTGTGTAGTTAGGTACACTGCTCAGACAGAAGAATAAAATTTCTGAGGACTAAAAAATATAAAAAGAAGGCAGTTTGACATGTGCAGAAGAGAAGTGGTGTAAGAAATTATTTTAATGCAATTACACTTCTGTTAAGTCTAACAGAATAAGCCAATTAGAGGCTCAACTAAATTAAAAGTTCTACTACTAAGGACAAAGCTACAAAAATGTTTTAGATAATACTGAGAAAGATCACGTGGACCTGTGTCCATACCAAGTTTATATTTTGCTATACATGTTACCAAATTCTCACCAAAGTTCTTTAAAAAAAGTTTCCCAAATAATATGCCCTAGAATAATTGATTTGTGTGAGCTATTAATGTTTCTGGAAAAAATGGTACTGTGATTAAATGCTAATTAAAATTAAGCTGAATATTATTTGAATTTTTCAGAACCTGTAACATTCCATTAATGTGCATTAATCATCCACAAAAGGGGATGGATTTTCAAAATGTATTTGAACACAGTACTCATTTTTCAAAGACAATTTGAAAAACTTGTAGGTTCCATCCAATTACTTATCAACTCTGACTTCAAAATGTGTGCCTATCACAGTTTTTGCAATCAGTTTGATGCTTACCCAGGTCTGGGTTGAACTCCCATCCTTCAGCTATGTTTTTGTGGAACTTGGAAACAATTCACCAGGTAACCTTGGCTCTGGGATTTTGCTTTCCTTTAGTCACTTCATGTTGGGTTCTGCTATGAACTGAGTATTTATGTCCCCCCACAAAATGCTTATGTTCAAACCCTAACCCTCAAGGTGGTAGTATGAGGAGGTGGGCTTTCAAGAATTGATTATTAGTGCCCTTATAAAAGAGACACCAGAGAATTAGCTAGTCCCTTTCCGCCAAGTGAGGACACAGTCAAAAGATACTTGTGAACCAGGAAGCAGAACCTCGTTGGATGTCTTGATCTTAAATTTCAGCCTCCAGAACTGCTGAGAAATAAATTCTTGGTTCTTAGAAGCCACCCAGTGTATAGTACTCTGTTACAGCAGCCCAAACAGACTAAGGTTCTGACAACATCTCGAGTTCTAAATCCCTTTAATGAGGTTTGACTGCTAGGCAGGAGGGATTAAGCTGTTGTTATGGTTAACATAAGCCATTGACTAGACAGCTTATGTATGTTATCCTCATTTGTCATTCATATACAGTACAGTTTTCTACTTTTGAAACATACGTTTGCTCTTTAAATAAGTCTACTATTTATTTGGTGCCCCTGATGACTATAATTAAGATGAAATCCTACGAAAGGATACTGAAAGCTAAGCTTTCTAATTTCGAGGCTTTTGAATCATAATGTTCTGTGTGATACTTTTATTATTTCCATGTATACACAAACAGGCACTGCTATATACATAGTCTCAATGTTTACATCAATCCTATGATTATCCTTTTTAACAGATTTAGCCCATGAACTTCAAAGGGGGAAAAATAACATCTATTTTTACTATCCTCCTGATACTTAATTTCTTTCAATTATGAATATAGGCAATAAAGTGTATTAGTGTTCATCAATACCTGTGACAGCATCACAAGTTACAAATGTTTTCATACCAAATTGTAGTTGCAGATACTTCAAAATACACTGAACTTCAGAATATAGTAATTAAACCTACCTCTAGATCATGTGTGATTGCAGACTCTGTGTATGGTTTCTGGTGTGATCTGGGTGGCCAGCTAACTCTACCCTGAAAGCCTACACCAAACATTGTAGCTGTGTGCTCTCACATTGGTGACTCCAGTATCTGCATTACTTTCCAACATTTTCTATACATCATTGGTCTATATATGTGGAAGGAACTGAGTCACAAGAATACCCCACAGTTTAATGTTCTTAGCCAAGCTAAGTAACAGTTGTAATACTGTCTTACAAAAAAGTAAATTTTAACCTTAAACTTGCCTATATTTTAACATATTGCCTTATTTATTAAGCAATATATATATGCATATTTTAAGTATTTTGATAAACAGTACAGTTGTTACCTTTTGTAGCCTTATGTATTTTATGCATTAAAACATAATTGTGTGAAAGGATTCATAAACATAAACAGACTACCAAATAGGAGTTAATGGCCCAAAAATGGTTAAGAAACCCTACACCATGAGGAAATGAGTTTTCAGGGCTGTCCAGTCCCATCGGAAGTATGGGTCCCAAGAGTTTTCCCCTTCAACACTCCAAGAACTACTACAAAGGAGGGACTGTCCAATGGGTAGTTTGGATAAGGCTCAGTACTTTTGATGAGGGTAGAGTAGTCCCTCTGCTAGACCTACAGCTGATGACCCACAGATTTCTCTTTAGGAAAGAAAAAAAAAGGATAGCTTACATTGCTCCTCAGCACAAATGACCTGGCGTACTCCATCTGTACCACTGGTTTGCTACAATAAAACTTTCCTTTGTGGCTCTGGGCATCTTGATACGCAATCCTCTTTCCAGATGACACCTTCCATAATAATTCCTTTCTCCCTACCGCAGGGCCTCTGCTAGGTGATCCTACTGACTTCCTCCTCTAGCTTCAGGGCTGTACCCTGTCGCCCAGCCAATTCCCAGCCAAGGTCACCCTGCAGAACCCTAGGACTCAAAACAAAATGTTTAAAAATCACTGTTTCATCACGTTTTTTAACCCTAAATAGAAATATCTTTATTGTGGGGATGATTATTTAAAAATGCAAATAATATAAAGCTAAAAGTAAAAAATCTCAGATCTGCACAATTTCCAGTTGTTTTTTTTTAGTATAGATAATTTTTTTTTGGTATCATTAATCTACAATTACATGAAGAACATTATGTTTACTAGGCTCCCCCCTTCACCAAGACCCCCGCACATACCCCTTCACAGTCACTGTCCATCTGCATGGTAAGATGCTGTAAAATCACTACTTGTCTTCTCTGTATTGCACAGCCCTCCCTGTGCCCCCCACCTACTATACATGCTAATCGTAATGCCCTCTTTCTTTTTCCCCACCCTTATCCCTCCCTTCCAACCCATCCTCCCCAGTCCCTTTCCCTTTGGCAACTGTTAGTCCATTCTTGGGTTCTGTGATTCTACTGCTGTTTTGTTCCTTCAGTTTTCCTTTGTTCTTATACTCCACATATGAGTGAAATCATTTGGTACTTGTCTTTCTCTGCCTGGCTTATTTCACTGACCATAATACCTTCTAGCTCCATCCATGTTGTTGCGAATGGTAGGATCTGTTTTTTTCTTATGGCTGAGTAATATTCCATTGTGTATATGTACCACTT